CCCCCCGGGGCTTGTTGGCGGGGCTCCTGAGCCTCGCCGAAAAAGGCAGGATTTTCAACGAGCTCTCTAAAACTACGCCACGTTTTCCTCTCGTACGCTCGCCCTCGGGCCCTTTAGTTTCCGCTGCCTGGGGGGCCCTCTTCTCCGGAGATGGCTCTTCGTCCAGAAAGGTTAACAGGGAGATGCCGCCAGTCCTTTCTCTACCGGCTGGGCGGGCCCCAGGCTTGCCTCTTCGCTTGCAGGCCCTTCCCTCCTCTCTTTGGCTATTACCTCATCGCACAAACCCCGCTGCCGGGGAGGGAATGCCCGAGCGCCTGGAGTTTCTAAGCAACTAACTCTGGTACACCAACAACAGCTGATCCCGTTCACCGCATCATTAGAACTTGGCCAAACTTAAAAATTAGTCAGCGACCTTCGAAAGGGCGCCCCTGGAAACGTCGTTAAAGCCAAGTTAAGTCAAAAAGTTAACTTTCGGAAAGATGCATGTTCCTGCATGCAGCTACGGAAATGTTAAAACTCTTGAGCACTAGAGTTGAATCCAGATTGAGTCATGTTAAAACATTTGGAATCAACATTTTTTGTGGTCCTGCCATGGATATGTTTGATATCAATAACTAATTTTCTCCAAGGCTTACTATAGACCGAATTGCCACTGAAGTTGATACAGTCCCCCTCTAGGATGAAACTCAGACCCATACTTGTTTTGCCAGGTCTTTTCTACTACTGTTTTAACTTTTGACTGTGGTGATGTTGATATTTTAATGGGCTTTTATTTTTACTGAAACTGTAAGCTGTACAGAGCCATTAAAGAGAGCATATTAAATTTTATAAATAAGCAGTTAATCATTCTAGGTCCCATTTATTTCAGCCATAGTCTAAGCATGGTTACATTCAAACTCTCATAATAACTTAAAGGGAGTGAGAATTAAAGCTACTGTCCTGCAAATTTGCTTAAGAGTGAGTCCCACTGAATGCACTGGGGATTATTTTCAGTCTATATACATACCCTTCAGAAGCACTGGCTGAGTCTGCTTTACAAACTCCACTTTATTTTTCCAAAAAGCATCATGGATGCTTTCTTTAAAATTATTATTACCCCATTTCTCTACTTTGAAAGTAGAGAAATATCTACTGTGCACACTGAAAGCACTTTTTATGCTGTCATAATATAGAATAATATTAAAGAGCATAGAAAAATGACTTTTAGCCTTTTGTATTTTAAGTCCTATAAATCAAAGTGATACTACAGTACCTGAATCCCTCTTTTTCAGAGAATGATATGTTTACAGGCTTTCTGTTACAATATTTATCATTTATAGTAAATTTTAGGGACATAAATTGAAATAATACAGTTGACAATTTGCTGCTGTAATATAATAGAAGCTAGTTTAAGCAGACACTAGGTTAACTGCAATAGGACCAGTGTTCCCTTAAGCCCATGCCAAAAAAAATACATTGACATAATTAGCAAGATATCACTAAAAGTTATTTTGATTCTTATATCCAAAATGTTCAGAGATATCTTGTGTCCAAAAATGCTCTGCTAAGTTACTCAGTCCCTTTTGGCTCACTGCATGCAACTAAAGAATAACTGCTCTGCTGTTCTTGTTTCTTCACTTTCTCAGCTCTTTCCTAATTTGGAGAGGTGGAGATGTGTCCCACTTCTAGCAATACTGGCATAGAGAGCAAAATAAATTTCTGAAGAATCACACAGACAAATCTGTGTCTCAAATCTGTACATAAAATCTATTTGCAAAGGATTCAGATAATATACTACATCAAAGAAAATGTGACATTATGACACCATAATGTTCTCCAGACCTTGCTGGAGAAAGTCAAATTTGAACATTCCATTATTTAACAAATGCAGTGAAGGCCAATTATTTTTTATTTAATAAAGTTTTCCCACCATATCTTTTAGAGGCTCCAGAATTGGTCCTTCCAAAAAGTATTCACAGTTCTCACCACCTACTCTTCTAATAACTTTTATAAACTTTTACAACCTGTAAAATTCTCTTGTGGGATGATTTCATGGTATGAATAATCCCCCACCCACCAAGATACTATCTTCCCTTGTCATGTGAATTACAGCTTTGTAGATCATGTGGGATTACATCAATTCCACATGTATACTATAAGTTACAGCAGTAGAACTAACTTTGTGCCACTCTGTTGACAATAGTGATGTTGTCTGATGTAGTTTGCATTCTATGGCTATGAGGCAGGTATTTGAAGGCATTTCATGTTCAACTGAAATGGTTAGGAATTCTAATTCAGTTATATGGCAAGATGCGGGAGGTGGTTGACCTCATATCTCAGATTGGAAGAGACTGGAGTTATGTTTCCCTTCCCGAACTGTTTCTATAAACAATACTGTCTATGAAGAGATGGGACAAGACATTTAAATTTTAGTTTGAAGATCCAAGGAATAGAGCAGAACAAGTACATAACTAGCATAGAAGGCAAAATTTCTATATGGCAGACAACAATGAGCCAGATTGCCCAAACATGAGTAGAGAATGAGATCATAGAGAATGATGCCATGCATGTAAAGATATGTCACCATGGCACTCTTGAGTTTTGTAGAAAACTCAAGAGAGTATGGCTAAGCTAACTAGTAAAACTCAGAATTGTAAGCCAACCTTCCTGGATAAAACAAATATTGCCAGTGATAGGAAACAATAAAATGTGGAAAAATTGTTCTGAAAATCAATGTAAACTAACCAAAGACCTTTTTGCAAAAAATACAAAATGGTAGGGAAACATAAACATTTGGAACTGAGATATGTAGAAGAAAAAAATTAGGTCACATAAGTCCAGCATGGAACAAAGGCACCTGTCTTTCTTGGGCACCATAAAGTACCTTCAATAAAATTCAAAAGACAGTTACTCATAGGAAACAGTTAATATGTCCCTTTTTGCAAAAAGAAGTATACCTCTAGTTGCAATACTAGCAATGTGGAAATGATAAGTCCATTTCAAAACTGGATGTGGTAACATTATGTAAAGATGGATATTGCCTGTGGTGGTGCCTAGAAAACAGAAGTAGCAGGTCATTGTATCAAAAGCACTGCCAAAGCCCCCGAGATGCCTTAAGTGCTGCTAATAAACTTTTGTAACCAATGATCAGCAAATCTTGTACAATGGAATGGAGTGGCAGCAGAGCATAGTGGAGGTAGCCATTATCTCTAAGGCTGATTCAGCAGCATGACAGAACTAGCAGCCAGTGTGCCACACTCTTAACCTACACAGATGCATCTAGTAGTAGATAGCACTGAAGAATGCTTATTCCTTAAGTCCTTCAAATTCTGAATAGTTTATAGATTGGATCCTCCAGTATTTAGTGTAGAGGAGTACAGAGATAGCCTTGAAAAAGGCTGTAAGAAAAACATGAACAAGCTAGAAAGTCAGGAAGGGATGAGGAAAAAAAATCAAGATTGCCCTGCTTTGACTCTCTTTGGAATGGGAGGGAGGGAGACAAAGACAGAGAGAAAGAAACTCTGTCAGGTTTTCAAGATTCTGTTATTATGCCCCATAACAATAAAGTAGAGTTCCAGTTCATGTGGGGTTTGTTCTGGATCTGGCTGCCTCAAAGATATGATATCTGGTTTGGTTGTTGAACTTCCAGATTTAGGAACTGAAGCACAATCAACTTCTGCTTACTATTGCCAAAATGTTCTGAATTTAAATATTTTGATTAAAGAAAATTATTGTTACCGGGATATTACTATATATTTCAAAATGTAACAGTGTATTTCCTCTAAACACTTAAGGAGGAAAGCAAGGTTCTTGAATACAGGAAGTTGGGTTCATGCATCAAACTGCTTTGTTCCTCCTTATGTTGAAGCCAGAATTAGACAATTCTAATTAAAGTTGGTGTCATAATTCATTCAAAGTGAGGAGCAATGGAGAACCACCAAGACAACATAATAAATCAGCCCAGTATAATTTAATATCAAGTTCTATTCAGATAACTCCAGGTTTAATTGTGGTCAAAAAAAAAAAAAAAGGACCATACCCATGGGCAAAAGACCAATGAATATCCTTGGCTTAAATGTCTAAGAAATAATTGCCTGAATCTGACCATTATGTACTCATTATTTTTATGAAGCAACAGGAAAATGTAACGTCATAGGATTTCTCAGATTAAACAATACAGGGAAGCAATTTTATTTTCATTTATTTTATACTTTTGCATGAGTCATATTCTACTTTAATGAGTTTTACTATAATAAAAGAGCTGAACTTTTTGGTTTTTGCTGCTGCAGTGCTACTAACATTTTCCTTGTGTTTTATTCAAACATTAAAACAGTCCATGTAGGCTGGTTAGGGAATTCGGAGAGTTGGTCCACACATCTTAAAGTTGCTGAGGTTGAGAAACACCGCCCTAGAGTATTAATACGGACTATTGTAATACAACTCCTCCTAGTTATTTTGTACTAGAGTTCCCACGAGGCCCCCAAATTAGCTATGATCCTAGAAGTTGTGGGAATATGGTAAAACAAATTAGCAGTATCAATCTCGTTGGAACTAAATGAATAAAAAAAAGTTTCCATAGCAACAGAAAAGAGGAGCTCCTCGTTCTCCCGTCTGCGCAGAGCGGCGAACATCCGGGAAACACGGATAAAATAGGCAGGAAATCAGATAGAGTTCGAGGCGTCTCTTTAGCACTTCGCAAAATATGTACGCGGTTGTTTCCGGCGTCCTGCGCCGTATCTAAGAGACCGAGCAGAAGGGGCTGGTTCAAACCATAAAGCAAACTAGAGGGGGGGAAGTTTGGAGTTCCTTATTTCCCAAGACCTCTAATAAACTGTATGAAAGGTTCTTCCTAATAAAGAACATCTATTACCCTTAGATTATCTTAATCCTTCTCACCATACAAATATAAACCCAAGAAATACCGCTTTCTCATTACCTAGAAATATAAAAGCAGCCCTTGGGTTTTACACGACATGGAAAGCCCGCAGGAGGTGGGTCTCGGTCCTGTAGGTTAACGGAGCAATAGAATCTACTTTTCGCCTGTCCCTGTAGCTCGGTTGGGCTCGTTTCTTCTCCAGAAGCAAGTATATACCTTTTTAAAATTTATTCTCCGGAAGCAGGTCTATACATTTTTAAATTTTCTCCCGAGCGTAAATTAAAAGCGGGATGGGGACAGTAAAGCAAAGCAACCGGTGTGAACGAGGGACCTTTGCTTGCTCTCCCCTTTGTTTTCTGAAGGCCCCTGGAGATGCCAGTTTGTCCCCTTCCCCACATCCCCCCGCGGCTCCGGGTGGTGCGGCTGAGCTATAAGGCGGCGAGGAATATAGCCCCACCCAAACAAAAAGCCGTCTCGAGTGAGGGTTTGTCAGGACTTTTTCTCCCTTTCTGACGTGCAAACAAGCAGGTTTAGGAGGCGAAATACCGTCCTTCTCTTTCTGCATTTCTCTGCGTATAGTAAAAACCCAGGACACCTCTGAAGGAAGGGAGAGTGCAGAATGTGTATTTTCTGGAAGATTGCTCTGTTTCACTTTTTTCCCACGCTAAAAACAAAAGGAAAGCTCTTAGAATTGCCCGAGTTATACGACATGGAGAGGAAAAACTTCTTAGGCCATTCTTTAACCGATTTTATTTAGTTGTGGCCTCTTCTTAGTTTCCATGGATAAAAACCCAGCCTGTGTTTACAAAGAAAATGCTCTGCTATATTTTGCTTAATCATAGGTTATTGAATGAACTTTATTTGGCTGGATTCACACATGCTGCACCATCAGCCATGCTTTACAAGCCACGGTGGCTGGATTGATGCATATGCTTATAACTAAGCCTCATTATTTCATAAGAGGTATTAAGTGAAGCTAGGATAATCTTAACTGGTTTTCTTTTAGATGGTTCAATGCTAAATTGAATTATGATGTGTTATTGTTGCTTTCTCCTGGCTGAATCTGCTTTGGGGTATAGATGCTGGAGTTGTAGGAGCTTCTATGTTCAAAGCATGTATTCAGCTATCAAACTGTGGCCATCTATAATGTATACATAATTAGAATATCCATTTTTAATATGTTAAACTAGAACTGGGTTTTTTTTTTGTTTGTTTTAAAGGTGGCATTTTCTGGCAATCTGCTTTCAATGATGTATGCGATATAGTTTTCATTATGGAGAACTTTATTTTGTATGAAGAGATCGGAAGAGGGAACAAGACTGTTGTTTATAAAGGCAGAAGAAAAGGAACTATTAATTTTGTGGCAATATTGTGTACTGATAAATGTAAAAGAGCTGAAATCACAAACTGGGTAAGAATTACCTAAGTTATTTTTGGAAGACATGTTCATTTACAAATAGTTCAGAACTTATTTTCAAATATGTTTACAGGATATTTTTCTCAATATGTGATAAAGATGTACATGTATTTGATGGACAGATCTGGATCTTGAATCAAAGCATAGTTAGAGTGGAAACCTTAATCATAGTTTTTACTGAAAGCTGTTGTAGGTTTACAAAATAATCTCACCTCCCTCTGCCATCTGGGTCAGACAGGATCATTTTTATCCCCCACAGACACTGAGAGTATGTTATGGGAACAAAAGCCACCTCCACTCTGTGGTAGTTTCAACTTACTGGGGTGCTACTATTTTTTATTGTTGTTATTATTATTCTTCACTAACGACATGTGAATGTCGTAAATGACAGTGAAAGCTATCCAGTTACCAAAAGGAATACAGAATAAGAAAGATGATGGCTGTCTCTCAAGCAAACTGGGCTTGCCTTAGGTTTTCAGGGTTGCCTGACATTGGCCAAATGCAGTTGCACATATAAGTTTAGGCACTCTTGATCAAATTGTACGTTTCAATGAATGAACAATAAACAGAGGCTAATGCAGCCTCTGTGTTACACAGTTAACTAGAATAGTTTTTTTACACATTTTTATGCATGATTACTGTTTATATGCAGTTGTTTACAGATTCAGAATAAGATAACAGATATCATAGGTGCAGAATCTTAGACTCCCTTCCAACTGATTCAGCACTACTTCTTTACTGTAACGTTGTTTATCTATTTCAGGTGCGTCTTACTCATGAAATAAGACATAAGAACATAGTCACATTTTATGAATGGTATGAAACAAGCAACCATCTCTGGCTTGTGGTGGAATTATGTACAGGTGAGAGGGTGATAGAACAATTTATTTATTTATGATACCCCACCACAATCAAAAAGACTCTTGGCAGCTTACATAAAATATAATTTAAAACATCCATGGTAACAAATAAAACAATAAAAATGAAAATTAAAGATGGGATTATAAACTCAGAGGACAGCTTTCCAAAACAACTTTGTCTTCAACAATTTCTGAAATGCCAGCGCCTTAGGACAGTATTTGATTAAGTGTTTTCAATATTAAAATGTTCAGGCCTTTTAATCTTAAATATAAAGATTTATATTGTTTTTACGTCACCCAGAGCCACCTTCTGTGAGATGGGTGGCTATGTAAATGCGATAAATAAATAAACACTGGAATTCAAAGAACTACATTGGCTCACTTAAGGGCTTTCACAAGCTCAGGAAAATCCTTATTTTTTTCCCCTTTCTGTTTAACAGTTAATTACCTATACCAGACATGATTTTGAGGGAACACCTGGAAACCACATCTCATTTGGTATTTCCTGAGCAGTTTGCTAGGCCAATGGTAAACATTGGGCAGCAATGCATTTGTAACAGTTATTCAAACTGTAGTTACTACCAGAATTCATTATACATAAAGCTGACTTAGAGAATGGTCTATAAACATCAGTCCATAAGAAGGGAGATAGATTGCTAATATTGGACTGGCTGACATCACATTATGCCAGTACAATGCTAGATGACAGTTCTTTTTCATCTTGGTTCAAAGAATTGATATTTACCTATCAAACTGTAAACAGCTTACCAGCCTGCCCAAAGAATCATTCTGTATATGTCCAGCTAAACCCAAATTCTTTATCTGAGAACTCCACCAAATGAAGCAAGCTGCCACAAGCAAAAGGGTGATTTCATTGGTGATGTCCCACTGGTGATATACATTAGACAGGTTATCCTTTCACTGCCTGGCAAAGACCTTTTTGTTTTTTTAGGAATTTTAAATAAACAAATATAGAATTCTTCAAACTTCACTGGTTTTAATTTTATGTATTATTAAGCTGTTTCTGATTTTTATCCTATCATTCTGTTTTCTGTATTGGTATCTCTATTATTAACATTCTTTGGATCCATACTGAATTTTTAGGTAATATTTTTACCAATTGTCTTGTAATTTATATTGTATTCAGTGCTAAGTAAGCTTGTATTCTAATATATCTATTGTTTGGTATAGATACTCATATTGGTCTTTTAAACATAAATAAAAGATGATATTCAGTCAGTTCTCAGTGTGCATTATCTAATGGTAAAGAAGATGGTGGAGTTTTAACTGAGAAATGTTAATGTTAAATAGTTTAGCAGTAGGCTTAGTCATTGGCTGGAAGGAATGTTCTTAAACTAGTACAGATTTATGTGGAGACAGGAAAGGACATTTTGTATGTAAGATTTCTCAGTTAAGATGCCACCATCCATCTTTCTATTCGATAATGCAAACTAAAATCTGAGCAGATTTCCTCTTTCATTATGGAAGTTAGACTTTTCCACAGAAATCAGCTTAAATTAAAAAAAAATCATTGCAGAGATGAGCTTTGTGTTTTAATGACTATTCATAAATACTTTGTAGGTGGTTCATTAGAAATGTTAGTTGCTCAAGATGAATACCTACCTGAGAACGTTGTAAAAGAATTTGGTATTGATTTGGTTACTGGACTCCACCATGTACATGATCTTGGAATTATTTTCTGTGACCTTACACCTAGGAAGGTAAGAGGACATACATTTGCTTTGATATGTGATTTCTGAAAATAATTAAACAATTCCTTTTTAATTGAAGAAATTGCTGATTGGTACTTCACTTTGTGTTTAACTTTACAGATTCTCTTGGAAGGGCCTGGCACTTTGAAATTCAGTAACTTTTGCTTGGCTAGAGCAGAAGGTGAAAACCTAGAAGAATTTTTTGCTTTGATTGGCACAGAGGAGCCAGGGGATAATAGTGCTGAAAGCACAAAAGAAAATCTGAAAAACAAAGTCAGAGGTAAATTGAAACATTTAAATGCAGCAGCAGCTAAAATGTAATCAAAGGATATGATAATCTTTCATAAACTGATGTGGGGGCAAATACAGTAATGGTTTAGTTTATTTAATTGAAAGTAATAATATTGATAAATATCCCTCTTTGGACGTTTTCCTATACAGATACGTCTGACTATTTGTGCTTGCCCCTTGGATGTAATTTGAATGTTACTGTATTAGTTTGAGGTTAATCTGAGTATGTGAAAACAATTCTACACTGACCGATTTCAGCATTAGAACTAAGTCTTACCGGTCATTCCAGTGAGTTTCTAAGAATCATAGGATTGAAGTGCTTGTGAGTTTTGGAGGGATGTCTGTTATAAAATCAGAACAAACAACTGTTCATTATTTTATTTTGCAGGTTCATTGGCATACACTGCACCAGAAGTGATTAAAGGAGCTGACTTCTCTATAGCCAGTGATCTTTGGTCTTTGGGCTGCTTGCTGTATGAAATGTTTTCAGGTATTGTGTGATTCATATTTGTATAATTAGTATAATAGTATTAATACTCTAAATATCAACAGAAGTTAGGGTTGTGGAGTCTATGTTTCCTGTGTTCATGAACCTACATGAATTTCCTTGCAAATAAATCTAGGGCATACAATTCCCCCTCTATGACTTGAATTAAAACAAAATGAAACAAAATGCAATCAGCAAAACAGAATCAGAAAATCACAATATAAGACCTGGGAATTTCCATTAGCAGAGAGCCAAATGTCTCAAGTTGAGCTCAACTTGAGGAAGACCTTATGAACAGTGAATTTGAGGTTATCAGTACTCTGATAACTATAGAGTTTTGTGCTGTTGATCAAAGAATCTGACAATTGTTCATTTTTTAAAGTAAATCGTGTCATTTGATTCAAGCAACCGAAGAGTTTGCTATTCAGTTATCTTATGCAAGTTAGTCTGGTACTGTGTTACTACACACTATGAAGAACATTGTTGAACATGTTGGTTATTTCTTTATCTGTTTGTGTTATATATTTACATCCTCATTTGGTTATTTTCTGAGGTTATCAATATTTAGGATGTAACTCCTTAATGTTGTCTAACCAACTGGTAACTGCTAGTTGGTGAATATTTAACTAACTTGATATTTTGTTCCATAGTTTTAGTATTTCTTATCCATTTGGAAAATTGATATTTTATTTTCTGTTAAGCTTTTCTATCTTCGTTAATATAAAAGTTACAGAATCTAAATATATATATTGGGGGGTTGATAAGCATATGTGTATGTGGCTCATATGGCTCTCACACACACACGCACACTGAGTTTTTCTCATTGTTTTTTTCTCCAGCTAGATATAATTATTACTGCAGCTATTGTCAATTGTAAAATGAATGATTAAAATAACTCCCTGGATTCACATATTGCAGTTTCACACATTAAAGCACAATTAATTTATTTGGCTTCTCCTAAGCCTTTTGTGTAAAATCATGTGTCAGATTTTCATCAACAGTGATAGTGATAAACTCTTGTTATGTTCCTTTGGCTACAGGTGTATGAATAATTCATCTTTGCCAAATGTGCTGAGAGCTTTCTAATGCAGTCCATTTGCACGTACTCAAAGGACTTTCATCCTGGATAAATGGGTGTGGCAGGAGTTAGCAGAATGATGTCTGTTCTCCGCCCAAATAATAATAAAACTAAAAGGATAATGTAACAATGGTAAAAAATTGTGAGATCTGAGCTATTTTGTGAGCTCTCATGTAAGAATAACAAAATCTTGTATAAGGTCTCAGCATTCCCACATGGGATTGCATTGAAATCTGATGAAATTTTGTGTGGCTTTATGTTATACTTGTTTCATTTTTGCTGTAATGGTATTGTGATTTTAAAACTGAATGCAGTGGTTGTGTGCTCTTAAAGGAACTTTGAAAGACCTTTCTTGCTCCAAACAAATTCTTTTTTTTTAACTATATAATCTAGGTTTTGCTGAAATCTGCTACAAATGTATGTTTTATAGGAAGACCTCCTTTCAATTCAGAAAACATTACTGAATTAACAGAACAAATTTTACATGAAGATCCTGTCCTACCTAGACAGAAAGGTATGGTTCTCCATATAGGGAAAATGTTGAGGTCATCTGGAATCCTCCAGTTCATTCACAGTATAAAAAGACAGTTGCCTAAAGGACAGGCAACATTTATTAAGGGAGTTAAATGATCTGTTAGCTACATCTCTTGAATTTTCTGTAGTCATGAGAAGGGGAAAGAGAAGGAAGTAGGGTGTGCAAAACATTTTGAATATGAACTGTTTATAAAGTTTGAAATTCTGTGCTTTGAGTGTAATACAACCACTTAAAGTGTGGCATGACCTGTTGCCCTTATTCTTGAAATGTTTCAATGTCAAGATAGCTCTGTCTAGAATTTCCAAAACAATAGGAATTGCCACATTTTATACTTTAAATAGATGTCCCTCACATGGAGCCTTGAAATAGGGCATTTTGAATTCAAAAAGATTTTAATCCAAAACATTTTGTATACCACTATAGGAAAATAGTATGTTCTTCCTTTAGGAAACAGGCTGATGTGGAAACCCCAAGGGTATCAGGCTTTAAACAAGAAAAAGCAGAGCAAAGACAAAGAGATATCTTTTGCTTGCTACTTCTACCTTATTATTTCTAGCTCTTGGTAGAATAAAAGGTACAAAAAACACAATGCTCTTAGACTCCAATGTGCTCTAGATAAATGATGTAATTAAATCTGGTAAAATATGAAAAATGTGGTAAGTGGGACAAAATTAATCTGGCTTTGCTTTCTTTCAGAAACTCATATGTTCTCCTGTAATGGAAAATATTCCTGCTTGTTTCTGAAAATCAGTATCTTCTGATAATGTGTTGCACAATATGTAATAAACATTTTTGTAGCTATACATGGCAGTACAACAGAACTTAAAAGTTGTTTGGGGAACTGAAGTATTTGTAAAGAACTGGAAAACTACAGATTTAGCCCTCACTGATTAATAGAAGAAGATGAGAAGAAATGATAAATTATAAGACTATTATTTAAATCTAGCAATTCTGACTTCACATAATTTCTAGAGGAATATATAGTACCAGTCTGTTATTTTAACAGATACTCTGTTTCGCTGTTCTGGTATTTGTAACAATAATAGTTAAGATGCCATAGAAATTACTTACTAGTGACCAAAAAGAACAGGGGAAGAATATATAGGAAAAATGTTGGTTGTAACTCTCAGGAAGTATTTGAAGAGTAAATATGTTTCTGTGATAATAAATATTTTGTGGGAAAAAAAGTTAAAGGTTGGGGAGATATTTCAAATTTAGAGTGAAGTGGGTATTTATCAGATGATACTTTGTAAAAGTGGCAGGAGCAGTTTAAAATGTAATAATACATAAAAATACATATTTAGTCTGTTATAGTTTTGCATCTGTATTTGTATGTCAGACATTTATTTTAGGAATCTGATAGTGAGATCAATGTGAGAGATGATAAATGACTTTATGTTCTCAAATTAAAGGGAATCAAACTTGTTGCTGCCTGTACTAACCCAATGAAATGTTTCTGGGACTGCTGCATATATTTTTCTCCTCCAACTTATGGAGTAAAGATTAGGAATTATTGTGATAATTAAACATTTCCCTAAGCTGCTGAAAGTGAATTCCCATGGATTCCCTCATTAAGAAGATATTTGAATTAATTTTAAGTTTGTATTCATAATTTATTGGTTTTAGAAGTTTGTATTTTACTTAGTAAAATCACTTTTTTGTTATGAGATATAGTATGTATTTCTTATGTCTTTTTCAGGATCAGCACTTCTAAAACCCTCTTCAGATTTCCTTAACTTGCTTGACTCTTTGTTTCAAAAGGATCCTCAGAAAAGGTAAAAAGTGATTTCATATTAATATTCATATACTAGTATACATTTTTAAAAAAGTAACACTTTCTGATATTTAAATTGTCTTTGCTTGTTAGGGTTTAAAATATATTTTTTAATTGTATTAAAGATCAACTTGGGCACAGCTGTTAAAGCATCCTTTTTGGCAAGGTGCCTTTATCCAAACTCCCACCAATTCTGTCTCCAGCCAAGACACAAACTGCAGGTATGGTGCATTGCATACAATTAAACTTAGTTTTTAAATTGGAACACTGTTGTCTGACAAACCTGATACAGCATAGTCTTTTGTGAATCAGAGCTCACTTTATAACATTAATGCATGAGGCTGCTGACAAGTAAACTTTGGCCACAGCATTTTAACATGTATATATCCTTTGCCTTTGGCTGCAGCCCTATTTTTAGACAATAGTATTCCATAGAAGTGACTAGCTTTGTAGCAATAAATGGGAGGTGCATAAAAATGTACCTCAAAATGTGTTACTAAATAATCAGGAAGTTCTGTGTTGCAATCATTCTTTTGAATCTCTTTCAGTTATACTAATCTTGCTAGATATTATCCTACAATTTACTGTTTTTAAGATTTATAAACACTCCACAGCCAAATATGTTATCTGGGCAGCAGATACGAATAGTAACAGTAGCAAATTGACAAAAGAATAAAGCAGAATGATAGTTACAGACAGTTGAAATACAATAGCAAAAACACTACTGTATATAAGCTAAAATGTTTAGCTCTCTAGTGATCAGCTGATTATTGGAATGGCTCCTGTATAGTTTGGAAATATTAGGTGAGAATAATCATGTTTGACAAATTATCTGGATGGAAAAAAGGTAATTTTGATATATTCATTGTTTAATTGTTAACAGCTGTAGCCATACTACAAGGCTAAACTTAGAAGTCCATAAGGAGACACATTGCAATTTCCTGGGGAACAACCCCATTTAGATATTTGGTGGAGAGAGTCAGCTGTTGAAAAAAAGGGAAGAAAATGCTGAGAGAATTGAAACAGCACTTTGCGTTTGCTTACCTACTAATATAGGCATTAAATTAAGCCCCATCACACACTGCTACTTTCATCCATTCACATTTTTTAATGTGCCTACAGTACCTAATGAATTGGTAAAAGGCCTGAGGCACTGGTAATAGGTTTTACTGTGACACACCTTAGTAATGCATCTGTATGAATATCTAGATCAGGGGTTCTCAAAGTACGGCCTGCAGGCCGGATACGGCCCGCCAGGGTCATTTATCCAGCCTGCCCGCCTGATTGGCCGCCGCTGCTGTTTGTCAGAAGCGGAAGTGTCGGGGCTGTGTTGGGAGCTGTAGGCGATGCACAAGGAGGGAGATCACAGAGCCGGACTATTCTACATGTATGCCGGGTCTGGCGGCTCTCCTCCTCTCCTCATGTTTTTTTCAAACTATAGTCCGGCCCCCC